ATATCCAGTTCTTGCACTCAATTCATATTAAAATAAACTTTTTTCTTGAAATTCTTTTGACAAACTTAAGGCAAATATAACTGAAATATTATATGAAAAGAGTGGAAATGAGTTGATTTCCTTAATATTAATATAAGTTACAAATGTTTATCAATTTGTTTGGAAGACAAAAAAGTATTTTATTGAAACAAATCTCTATTTTCCATAATTTATTGGCCGAAAGAAAAATTTGTTTTGATTTTAATTTATTGATAAATTAAAAGTGAAATTTTCCTCAATAGGCATATGTGGCAGCGAGTGAACTGAATTTCAAACACAAATTCAATAGATTTAAGTCCAGATTAATCGGGAATATGTTGTTTGGTTTGATTGGATTTTTTAGGCCATTATTGTATTAAATCATTTCTGTGTGAGTTTCTGTTGGGTTTGTGTGTGTCTAATGTTTTACGATAAAAGTGTTAGCAAACAACACTTTTTAATCGCTTATTAATTGATTCATTGGGAGACAGTTATCACCCGAATAATTATATTTTAACCTAAATATGAAGGGCTAGTATTTTATAATTTTTATATAAACCATAATAGATTCGCGAGAATTATATACATTTGCATTTGAGTTCATGTTTTTCACATTAAGGTCCATAACATTAGAGCCTAATATATACAGAGTTAACAACTAATCATATGCTTCAATAAAATAATGCATTTTATTGATCATTTGTTTCCAATCTAACGGCCAAACAACGAGTCAAATACCGTATATATCTATACTCATCCATACATATGATGCGAGAGAGAGAGAGAGAGAGAGAGAGATCTCCAAGAGTTTGCAATTCTCGACGACTTGTGCTAAATGTACGGTTAAAGAGCCCACAGCTCCCGGTATTCAATCGATTTGAGGCATTGGACGCACAGATGTTGTGAGCGTTATATTAGATGTTTGCTGAATATGTTTGTAGTTTAGGGCTATTGTTGTATTTTTAGAAATAAAATCTAATTTCAAAATATTGTTTTTTGTGCCTTTTCTAGTGCAGTGACCATCAAAATCATAGCCACAAACTAGCAAACCATTCAAACTTTTTCAATTATGTTTGTATTTGTTATCGTATAAATTCTGATCCAATGAAATAAAATTATTTAATCCGCTTTTTTCTCAAATATTTGCAGCTAAATAATAATATAAATAAATTATGTTCAAAATCATTAGTAAGTAAATTAGATTTTTGTGTGTAATTAAAGAAAAGTAAGAAAAACCGCATAAAATATATTATATTTTTTGGATAAAGGATTGTTTGTAAATATTTCTTATATTTATATAAATAATATTGAATTAATGAGAAAAACTCAAATTTATTGTTAACAAAATCCCTTTAGACAATGATTGAGTCCATCAAATCCATTATCCAAGACATTAGATCTCATTTTGTGATTTTATTGAATATGAAAACTTTTTTCAAAACAATCAGATTTGGATTTATATGATATTAACGAAAAATAATAATTAAATTTTCATTTTTATTATGATAATCTTATATAAATTCATTAAATCCTAATGTAATATGTACTGAAAGTTTGTTTTATAAACTCTATTAAATTAAGATAAAATCTTGTCCTAAAAACATTATTCACAAAACATAATCCATAAAAATGTATAAGAAATCATACTTTTGAATGCAAAATATAATAAAATCTAATGTGAAGTTAACTAAACAAACAATAATACCAAATGATATAATGTTATCATTTATGAAATTAATTTTAAGTTTTAAAGATTTTTTATAAATCGGAAGTTTTATAAGACATACAATTGAGTGATTGACACGACTTTCAGACAAGTTGTTGAGCACTCAAAACAATCGGATATTATTTTTGCTTAAAATAACATGACAAATGATGCTAAATATTTATTTCTAATTGTTTATAATATATTTAAAATTCAATTATTACATAAACATAAGCATATTTATTACATAAAATTTAAATTAATTAATCAAAATACAAAATCATGATTTTT